AAAGCCACAGAGCAGACTGCTTAAACAAAGGATGCCAAGAAAGTCACAATCAGGCTTCAGAAGGGCAGGATAGTGATTCAAAAGTGAGAGAAGCATCATGGCTCATTCACTGGGCTTAAACTATGATGAGAAAGGAGGCTGTGAGTTACAGATGCCATGAATACTTAACAAGGACAGCGGTCAGTGTCCCAAATCACAGAGATGGGCTTATATCATCTAAGGCCAGCAGAGCCCAAGAGAGGAAGACAGCATGCAGGACCCCTGCTCCTCTCAACCTGGGGATGTTGGAGCTTCCTTCTGCATCACCTGCCATCTTGGGAGAGGACACAGAGACAAGAACCCTTGAAATGGGAAAGAAACTTTCAGATGAAGAGAGACTGACATAGTTGATGCTGACTACATCTACCATTTTCTGCCATCAATAGGAATAAGGTTCAAAACAAAATGGTACATGATTATAGACAATAAAGTTTCCATGTTGTACAACCAATGTTTACCCAGATGCATAAAAAATGAAACCCCATGGGGCTAGAGGAGCAGCTCACTCAACGGAAGACCAAGAAGAGGAACAGAACATCTAAAATTAAGAAGCCACTATTCAGAGAGGTAAGATGGAAAAAAAGGATAGAGGAGAATAGTGGAAACCACAGCAGAAAAAAAAAAAAAAAAAACCAAAAAGGAAGTCTGTGTAATAAGCAAGGACTCTATACTAAGCAGGAATTAGCCTTCAGTTTGGCAATCTGGTAGTTAGGCACCTTGGAGAAATTCAAGGCTTTACTCCAGACTACCCACAAAATTGAATCCAAACACCTTAACACCTTCACAGACTTTTACCACCTACCAGACTTTTCAAACTATACCTATAAAAATACATCGTAAATCACCTGATTAACTCTCGCTCCTAGAGCTTTCACTAACCAGTTGGGAGGCCTTGGAGTAGTTTCTTAATGTCTCCTGGTTTCCTTGTCCTTACCTTTAAATTAAAACATAAAACAATCCTATTTTTAAGTTTAATGATTAGTCCTCATTGAGCTAAGCTGTTACATGTGGAGCTTCAGTACTTTCACTATATTAGTTTCCAACCAGGAGTGCCTTCCTTAACTAGGTATCAAGATCCTATTTTCCTTTTCCTCTGGGAACCTCACTGAACTATACCTATACATCTCATTTATTTACTCAAACCATCTAAAATAATTAGAAATTTCCTCCTCCTTATGCATATCTATCTTTTCTTCTCAGTAGATTATCAGCTACTTCACAACTGGCACTGTTCTTTATAATTTTTGTATGAACTTCAAAATACTAAGCATAATGCCTTACATTTGGAAGATAGCTAACAAATCCCTGTTATTCATTATTAACTATATAGTACAAACATCTTCAATTTTTCCCTTTGTTGTACTCTCTGATATGCTTATAAACATGAAAGTTGTTCTCCAAACTGAACACATGTACTAAATTATTAGTAAAAAGAAATCATCAAAAATAAAATAAAAGAAAAGAAAAAGAAATCATTCAGCTTTAAAACAGGGGTAGTAAAGATCAACTTCCTGTTAAATATTATTGGAAAAGAAGTAATACATCTCACGCTGCAAGAACACGTTTTCTTCATGATACTCCTGAGTTTCCCTGCAAACTCTGCTCTACTTGTACACATACAAATGTGCTTTATACGCCTATGTAAATGTTAAAGTCTATAACTATATCCATAAAAATCCCAATAAGCTGAATGGGATTAAAGTTTTCCATTGATTCTCCAGGCTTTTCTAAGTGAAACTTTTTTAATGTTCATCCTTGTTATCTGTTCACGAAGACTTGAAGATCTAAACAATGGATTCCTCAGAAATGTCTGTCACTGATTTTTCTGTCTAGCATATAAGATAACACCTAAAGGGTGATGATACCGTGTGGTCAACAAATTATCTGTAGAGCCAAAAGACTGATCATGATTTTGACTGTTACAATGCCACAGTACCCTCTCTGTTACAACACCCTTTTAATTATTATAAATTTGAGTTAAAAAATGTACCTCATTACACTGTTTAATTCTTATCTTTCCCAACTCTGTACTCTCCTTATGCTCTCTTATTTTAAATTATAAGAACTAGAAAGCTTAACATTCTTCAAAATGGGAGTACTGCTTCTCTTTCATACTGGGTAAACTGCAGAACATAAGAATAAAATTTAATAGGGAAGACTTCTTTGTCCTTCTGATATATATCTTGATGCTTGTCTTTACTAGCTTATTATGAAAATTCTCATAATTAAGACTAAGCTAAAATGTAAAAGTAAATAGTATAATCCCCCAGGATAGGAGCCTTTAATGTTTCTTATCAATTGTTTCTCTACCGACTACTGAAGTTGCAAAACTTCAGTAATTCATAATAGATCTCTTTATTGGTTCTAGGAATTCATAAAGTTCTACTGAACCCACTAATTTCTTTTTCCTTTGATCACCATTTATCACTAGATCATATAATTGCATTATTGATATTAACTGCTCTGGGAGAACATTCTACTATATTTGACATGAAGCAATCATAATACTGCTTAAGAAAAAAAAAGAGTCATAAAATTCTACAACTTATAATTTTTCTGCCAGCAGTGGTGTAGATGTATCTTTTTAAAAATAATAATTGGTCCCTAGTGAGGATAATGCCAATTAACTGCCTGCTGTCTTTTGATGAAATGCAATCATATTTCCTTCTTGGTTCTTTAATAAAGCTGCATTTTTTTCTGTTTAGCTAACATTTGATTAATCTTGAAGTGAAAAATTATCAGTGTACTTAAAATAGTTGAAGAAGAGAAAGTATATTAGGACTATGTAAAGCCAGAATATAATCTTTGCTTTGAAGTAAAGAATGTCTCTATGGTCCATAAAAGACTATGAATGCTCCTTGAGGGCACTGATATGAGGCTGGGTAGCAGTAGATGTGCAATAAATATGTATTAAATATATGTCTGATATACATGAATTGAATGCCAGTCATCCCTGAGACAAGACAAATCAGCTCTCGATTATTAAGTTGCATCAACAAACTATTCTTCTTCTACCTTCTAATTTTATGCCACTTTAAAGATTTCACAGTATATTCACACATGTTAATTTATTTAATCCTAGTATCCTCTGGGGTAGGTAATAGTCCTTCCCCTTACTTATGGATGAATATATAGTCTAGATCTAGAAACTCAAAATCCTTCCCTTGACTTCAGAGCTCTACCTTTGTTTTACCTGGCCATGGCCTGATTTCTAGATTTTATAGTCAAAATGGTTCTCCAAACACATACAGAAATATTGATGGGGGCAGTGCCTGTGGCTCAAAGGAGTAGGGTACTGGCCCCATGTGCCAGAGGTGGCGGGTTCAAACCCAGCCCTGGCTAAAAAAAAAAAAAAAAAGAAATATTGATGGATGAAATGATACAGTACTTTGGATTTGCTTCAAAATAATTACTAAACCTGAGGATGGTATAGAAAGCACTCTTTGCTTTTATAAATGCTTAAAATTTTTCATAACAAGTAATTTTTTAAGCTAAGCAATAAAAATAAATAAATAAAATGGTCCTTCTCAAGGTGTTTTGCTGAAGATAAGAGGATTCCTGCTGTTAGATTGTAAACTAATACCGCTGGCCCCACATCAGCCACATGAATCTAATCTAAAATGACTCCTTTATATACAACTGGAAATTAGCTAACTAGCTTTTCAGTGCAGAACTTAAAAGAAGGCCCAGAATACCTAAGATATATGAAAGAGCTATATCTCTTACATTCAGTCTCCTAGGAACACCATATTCGGAAAGCAGCATGACATGCATCGATAGAATGATGTGTTTCTCATGGTTGCCTAATTATTATGAAGTCAGGCAAGCAAAGCAAAGTGAGCTCTAACTCCCTGTGTATGAGATTTAAGTGGGTTCAGTGAGAGCTATAGCTCCAAGTTCTACGCTCCTAAACATAAACCTGTTTCTTAAATAATCATCATGGATTGTTCTGCAAAATCACAGCTTGGCTCAACATTTAAGGCAATGAAGATGAAAGAGTTTCCTCCCCAAAGACAACTAAATTGTATCTTCAACTTCTGAATTCCCAGTACCTTAAGACAAAACCACTAAACATTTGTGTTTTCCTTCTTTTAGAAAGTTCACTGAAAATGCTGCTTTTCAACAACTGCCTTTTTGGGACCAACTTCTTATATAACTTCCCCAGATGAAATAGAGCGGGTCCTTAAGATTCCAGGAAGGAATTTCATAACCAAGAATAAACTTTATGATCTTATCGCCTTGGGCCCCATCACCAGGACAAAAGAACATTCACTGGATTGAAAATCCCCTGATCGGATGGATTCCTGCTGGCTGGTGGCCCAGAGCATGAGCAAATAATGGATCATAGATAATTCTATGACAAAGACACCAAAGAAGGAAAATTAATAGCAACAAGAGCATCACTGGCACCATCACTTACACATGGGGAAATTTGTAGCTTTGGCACTCTTTTTCCAAGAGATGTTCAGAAAGATACTTAAATATCAAAACAATCCAAAGGTTATTGGCAAGAAAAATAAAAAGACATATTGTGATTCAAAGCATGGCAACATTATTACCAATGAAAGTAATATATAGACCAATAAGAAAAATTTTTAGGTCAAATGTTATTTCCTTCTCTAAATTAACTCACATTTTCATCCATATTCCCAAAAGGTACAATCAGATTACTGAAGAAATTAAATATAAGCATTCACTGCTAATTCTACGAAGAATATAATTTAAAGAACTGTTAAGAGAACTTTTTGATACCTCTGGTTTTGCAATGTACAATAAATTATGGGTTAGCATTTTGGAAGATCAGTTTATTGCATCAGTTTTATTTATAAGGTACAGAAACAGATGTAAATATGTAAGCATCTACATATTTTCCTAACTAGAGTTGACTTTTCCTTAAAACAAGCATGTATCAGACAGCCTATCAGTGTGCATTATGAAGCAATTGAAAGATTTGTACTTACGTGAGACAGCAGAGCCAGCTCATGGTGACATGTGACAGCATTCCGGTTGGCTTCCATGAAATACCTCTGTGTGCGCCTCCGTTCCCGTTCCAGCTTCTTCTCCAAGGCGAGTTGGGATGTAGATAAGTCATCTAAATATTTCATCATAACATCTGATATCATCGAACTGACTTCTACAATATCTGGACGGGCTTCTGCATCAGGAGTGAGGCACCTAAGAAAAGAAAAGCTAATCATAATATACACACTCTGGTCAATGTTAGAAGCCCATCAAAAGGAGTAAAGGATAAGGGTTAAACTCCACTGTGGATATGGTACTTGCACCCTAGAGAACCTGGGATAAGATGGATTTAAAGTAGAGCTTTGGGTCCAAGCCATCTCTGAAAGGATATGGAAAGTTGGGGGAGGAAAGGAAGGCAGTGCTGTTCTCTTTGCACCTGGGCAGAAAGACATGCATTATAGGCTTAGCTTGAAGCTACTCCTTAGGTCTCAGGATAGGCAGATGGAGTCCTCTTCTTCTGTGTGGGTTGGCTGCCTTCTGAAATCACTGCTAGCTCATTGATCAGTGACACTCAGACAGATTCCAATAATGTAGGCCTTGATGACCACCCTTGACGCACCAAAAAGTTGGATAGTTTCAGGGAGTCAGAATCTTTTGTTCTTTTCCAGCTGTATATTGGCAATATACTAGCAGCACTTGATTACTGAGAATCTTACACAGCATGAAATCATAAATGTAGAATACAACCCAGTTACTTAGAGATTTAAGATGTTTGTAGTGTCAAAAATAAGCTCAGATCAAATTTTAAAACTGTAGAATTTACTGTGCACACAAAAGATCACTTCATAAACCAGGGAACTTGGAATTGAGAATGAGGAAAAGTTCACTTCATAACAGTTACAGCACAGTTTATAAAACACAAAGGGAAGAAGTATTTTATCTATTTTATGATTGGCTTTTATGCATTATCATTCTCTTTAAGGCAAATAGAGTAAGCTGATTTGTCCATAACTGATTGGTTTAATGTCACTGAATCATGATGACAAGGATGTAAAGCTTACATTTTGGGTTTCATTTATGATGAGATAAAATTTCAAGGGAGTTAGAATAAGTTTTTTTTTATTTTTCTGGATACATTATAGTTGTAAATTGGAAGTCTTGAGTTTTGATTACGTGATTACAGGCAGTTGCCCTTGGAATATATCTAAACTGTGGCTTCCATTTTTATTTTTTTTTAACAGCATCAATGTTTTTTAAAAGCAGCTAGTTTGACACATTGTATGCCAGTATTTTCTGTGATTTTAGAGGTAGAAAATATTAATCAGCATACTAAAGGTAGCATTGTTCTTGCCACAGCAAAACACTAATAGATGGCTACTCTATATGCCCATGGAACCAATTATTAAGATGACTGGTTGATTTAACAACTCATAGTTAATACTATTTTCACTATACTGATGTCTCTGGGCAAAGTTTAAGCATTATTATCACACCATTTTTTTTTTTTTTTTGCAGTTTTTGGTTGGGGCTGGGTTTGAACCCACCACCTATGGCATATGGGGCTAGTGCCCTACTCCTTTGAGCCACAGGTGCTGCCCACACACAATTATTTTCTATAACAGTAATAAAAATAAGACTCTAAATAATAATTTACTAATTATGTTTTCTTTTTGAGGTATTAACCATGACTAAAATACACAAGAGTTTTACTTAGGTTTTAAGACATCACTTTATCTTTTAACTTCTAAGGCAGTGGGCTTATACTTTGGATATGACAGCTATGTATGCATCTGCTGAATTCACATACACCAAGTTCACTCTATGCATATATTATACACAGAGCAAGGTGGGAGACTGTGGAGACAATTATGCAGATACATAATTTGTGGGATGCCTAGTGCAAAATGAAAATGGGGGGCTCCAGTGGCGAGTGGGGAAGTCAATCTCCTCTTACCACAGGACATCCTTAAGTGGGCTAACAGCAACAGAATGTATTCAGGGGGTGACTCAGGGGGGTCTCAGCCCCACCTCTAATTGACATTCTTAATAATTTTATATTTGGATTTGTACTTGTAAATGAAGAGCCTTAAGCCCAAGCACTGGACCGTACAAGCACAAAGGCCCTGCACTAGTCATAGGCACATGTGTGGCAACAGGATATTTATATTCCAGTTTATTATTTTTGCTCATAATAACAAAAGAAGTTGTTGGATTTTCACTTTCCAATTGAATCAATTCTTTAGTTACTTTTACTTAATTAGCAAAATCAGTTAAACTTGCTAAAAATATTTGGCTGAGCTAGAGTTGATTATGACCGCCAGGTCAGGGAAAAAAATCCAACTAAACAAACAAAAAAAAACCCCTAGGATCTAAGCCTTTCATTTGAACAGATACTCTACATTCTTAGACTGCAGGTGTTTAAGCTGAATCAAGGTAATATTAGCAGCTGAATTATCAGTTGAGCTTTTTTTAAAATCAAAAGAGCAGTGTAAGCTACTTTTATAAATTATATAGTTATATATTATGGCAAAAGGGAACTGGAATGACCTCTTCTCCTGGCATTTAGTCATCTTCTCACTCAAGTTGACTCCTGATCCTGTATTTGCCATCACTGGAAAAGATACCATGAGGAAGACACACTTGAGCATCATAACCAGGCATGCATGCGGACCGTAGGTCAGACTGCTGGGCCTTAAATCCCAGTTTACCTGGTACAAGCTCTCATGTTGGGCCAGTCACATAGCTTCTAAGTCTCAGAGAGCCTGCCTGTTTTTTTTGTTTTTTTTTAATAAAGACAGAGTCTCACTTTATTGCCCTCAGTAGAGTGCCATGGCATCACACTGCTCACAGCAACCTCCAACTTCTGAGCTTAGGCGATTCTCTTGCCTCAGCCTCCAAGTAAGTGGGACTACAGGCGCCCTCCACAATACCCAGCTATTTTTTTGTTGCAGTTCAGCTGGGGCCAGGTTTGAACCTGCTACCCTTGGTATATGGGGGCAGTGCCCTACCCACTGAACCACAGCCACCGCCCGAGAGCCCACCTGTTAAATGGGATAAGCACAGTATCTACCTCATCAAACTGATATGATGATTAAATAAGATAATTTCTATATTGCAAAAGTTCAAAAAAATTGAAAAGTTTACTTCTCCTTCACCCCTTCCCACATTTAACAAACACCAAGTCCTATGGTGCCTAACGTCTAGATATTTCTTGAAGCCTTACCTTTCCCTTTTAATCCTACAGCTATAGTTCTGTTACATTGTCGCTTGTACTACTGAAAGCCTCTCCTAAATGTCATGCTCATTTCTCGTCCCCCTCTGATCTGTACTGTAAACTGCCACCAGAATATTCCTAACTCTTGCTACATTATTCCCTATTCCTCAATAGCTTCTGACGGCCCCACAGGAGAAAATTAAAATTTCCAGAATGCCACACAAGGTCTTTCTCAAACTGGCCTTCATCCCCGTCCACTCTGTCCCCTCCCTCAGTGACACACCCAGTGCTCCTCCCTGTACCTCCCCAAGCAGCACTTGGCTTTCCTCTGCCCCCATTTCTTTGCTTATTATTCCGCCTGTTTGACGTTTCTAATTGTTGCTGATGGGATCTGCCCTTTCCCAGCCACCATAAGCCGTGCGTTTGCTAAAATCCCACTCTTTTTACAGTCTCCATCAGGAAGATTTTGGACTGCCCTCAGACAGACTTCCTGTGCCCCTTTTGTTTGTTCTCATCGCATTTAGGTACTTAAAACTACTGTAATTATTGTATTGCAATGGTCTGTTTCACCACTAGACCAGAAACTTCTCAAGGGGAGGCACATATGTCCCCTTCACTCTGATCTCCCCAGCATGTATTGATAAAATGGAATCTGGGTCCTGACAGATACTGAGCAATAATTAAATCAATGAATAAATGAAAAAACTAAAAAACCCTCAGTCAAACATCTAAAGAATTTACCTACTCATAACCCAAATATTTGGTCACAGACTTTTGAACTCATTAGAAGTTCCAGATGGGCTTCATGGCTCTGAAATGATTCCCTGCTTAGATATTTTACAAAAATTCATTTTTTTGACAGAGTCTCACTTTGTCACCCTTGGTAGAATTAGAGTGCTGTAGTGTCACAGCTCACAGCAACCTCAAATTCCTGGGCTTAAGCAATTCTCTTGCCTCAGCCTCTTGAGTAGCTGGGACTACAAGCGCCCATCACAACACTAGCTGTTTTGAGAGACGGGGTCTTGCTCTGGCTCAGGCTGGTCTCGAACCTGTGAGCTCAGGCAATCTACCTACCTCGACCTCACAAGTGCTGGGATTACAGGCATGAGCTACCACGCTCGGCCCAGAGAAATTCTTAAGAGCAACTAAATTAGAGTCATAATACATGCTCTACCAATTGTCTACCAATGATTCTCTAGTCAAACAGGCACAAAATCTGGCTCTAGAAAAAATCTGGGATGTTCCTCTCACCCAACCTATATTGTCCCCTCTCCAATCTGAGAGACTGGATAGAGAGAATGAGGGGAAGAGAGTATTCTATGGTATTCATCTTATGTTTTAAGAAACAAAGAGTTAAAAGTAAGGTGAAAAATATAAAGACTCATTTGTCCTTACATCTACCCCAAAGAACTTTGTTAGTGGTCCTGACTGCCCTGAAACAAAGCACCAGACGGCTTATGCAACCAGGCACAGAGGGAGAAAAATAAGGCAATTGGAATATTCTGTGCATAAAAGGAAATGTTCTTCCTTTTTAAAAAGTAAACAGACAATACTCTGTTAACAGTGTACTCGTAGGTAAAAATAGGAATGCTGATACTGGACAGAATAACAAAATATATTTATTTTCTGTCCCACACTCTTCAGGGTTGCTAAGTTATTCTCCCCATTTAAATGCCTACCGAGAAAGGAAAGTTTCGATAACAAATGTGCTGATGTCCCACGTGAGCAAATAGGAAAAAGGAAAGATGCTGCACATTAGAATGCAAACTGTGTGAGCTCTGCTCCACAAGGATGCAGAAACTGAAAATGAGAAGACACTAAAAGAGAAGAAAGGAGACATACACGAGGAGCACAATACATGGCTTAGGAATGATCACAGTGATCCTCCTCATCAGTAGTTGTCTTGTATTTCGAAGGCTCTATCAGATTACTAAGGATTGCTTCTGAGCCTCAGGTTTTGCTGAGTCATAAATGATCATTAAGAACACTTTTGGCTTTATCAATTTCTTAGAGAAAATAGGAAACTAAGACAATAGGAAACCTGAATTCCTTCCCTAAATCTTTTAGAATTTAATTTTTTCTAATACTACAAATCCAAAGGAAATTAAATATGGAACTGCAGGTAACTCATGACTGATTTTGATTTTATGTCCAATTTTCCAAAGATGAAACTTTATGGGAAATGTAAACTCAGACAATGAGGAGCCTTGAATAACTTCAAATGAAAATAGATTTATAACAGAATGCCCCCTCCAATCTTAATTTATAGTCAGTTATAAAATTAAATTGTCAGTTATGCCAATTTATGGCATCTCGCTATTTGCATTTAAAAGCAACCTCTGAAACATTTCATCTGAAGCTCCCTAATAAGTGATCATCCTCTGAAGCATTCTAGGGAGAGTGAACTCATGACCTCCTCACTGCCTCCCGCCCGGGAGCCTCATCCACTGTGGACATCTTTAATTCTGACAAACGTTTTCTAATGGTGAGCTGATCTTGGCCTCCTCAGAATTTCTACCCCTTGGTCTTGGCTCTATTATCTGAAGCTCCACCAAACAAATGCAATTCTTTTCACATTTCCAATGTTATTCCATTTTCCCAATTAACAGAAGTATTTTTGAATCCTCTTACCATTGCACCCCCAAGTGAACAGACTCACTCCAGCCTACCTTAGAAAAAATCCCACTTCTTTCTGCCCCCACTTCATCCAAGTCATCATCACCCCCGAGGGGGGCAAGTGGAACTGCTCTTCCTCACACTTTCATTCCCCTCCAGGCTGCCAAAAACCCTCAGTCCTCTCTTCAGATAAAGATCTTTATCTTTTTTCAGATAAAAATTCAGAACCCTCCCTGTAACTGACAGAACCTAATCCATCTGGTCCCCCCCGCCCAAATCGTTTGCTGCCACTTCTCCCCTTACTTAACATGTTTCATCTCCACTTTCTCTCTGTTCCTCAAATTAACTAGCTCATCTCCTCAGAAAAGCCTTCACAGATGCTGTCCTTTCTTCAGAGAAACTTTTCCCAAACCCCCACGCTAGGCCAGGGCCTTGTGTAATCTGTCATTGTCCCCTTTACTGCCTTTTATCATATATCATAATTTGCTTTAACATATACTTACTACTGTAAATAACATAATATTATTAATAACAATACTTATTTTATTGAAGTCTTACTATATGCTGAGAACTGTGCTAAGTGTATCAGATGCATTATCTTATTTAAGCTTCAGAACACGCCCATGAAGCAGTTACTACTACAACCCACATATCATGGATGAGAGCACTGGGGCTCAGGAATGTTAAATTGAGTGAAAGATAAGAGATTTTAATTCAGTCAGTTCCAGAATCTGAGGATGCGCTAACTGGTTACACCATAATGTTGCTGTCTGATCCCTCACTAGTTTATTAACCTTGAGAGGCTAACAATGGGGACCAACAGCCAGGCAACCTATTGAAAGAGGACTTAGGGTTCTGTTTACCCATAGTCACAAAATCAGAGCAATGTTTCTATACCTTTTTCTTTGAGCTATCCTTCCCTTGCTCTTTGTGACACTCAAATACCTATGAAACGGAAAATTCAATGAGCAAAAATGGTACTTTTGTCTTGACATCTCTGGACATTGATCAATTTTTACGGTGCTTTCCAAAATATAAAAAACAGAGAACAGGAACAAACTGTAGAGATCAGTTTAAATACATTTGTCTGAATTCATTAAAAACAGGACATGATCTAGTATATATGGAATTCAGATGATTTAGAAAGACGTTTCAGCTCATTTCCCATAATATTAACACTGATAATTGCCAAAATTACTCAAATATTTGCCATTTGCCAAGCCCTATGCTAAGGGATTTGCACATGGTGCTTAGTATAATCATCACATCAGCCTGATGAGATTGATGACATTAATGATCCCTGTTTTACTAGATAAGGAAACAGAGATGCAGAAATAATGGTCAGATCACTTGTTCAGAGTCTGCAGTTTACAGGATGCAGCCCCAGCTAAGCCTATCTCCAGACCCGGAAGTTCCTAAGACTGCAGGTCAGTATTATGCCAAAGAAGGAAAAGTTCAAGGTTAAATCCTGCAAACAGGTCTAGAGTAACTATTAGTACAAACAATGAGCTGGGAGGAGAAACCAATGGGAGACGGGCACAGCCACAAGAATAAACCTATAATATTTCATAAGGGCTAAGTGCTAGGACAGATTTCAAAACAAGCTTTAAAGAGACTCGGGAAGGGGGATGGAAAACAATTCCATCTGGGGTGGAATTTTTCTACAATCCATAATACTAAGGATTTGACTTAGCTTGATGGAATAGAGAAATAATCCTTAGGCAACTTAAGTACCTAAAATGGTCCAGAAGTATTAATCAACCAGATAAACAAGAGTCACTTAATAAAACAACCAACATTTATTAAGGCTCTATTTTGTGCCAGGCCCTGCTCTGGCCACTAAATAGCCATGAACTAAACTGACAAAGTCCCCGCTCTTAAGTTTACATTTTGGTGGGGAAAGGACAGAAATAAACAAAAAGTGTGTCTGTACATGTATATACCAAAAGTTGGGAGAGATGGGCACTGTGGGCTTGATAAAGCAGATGAGGGGGCTGAAGTGCTGAGGCAGGTTGACAGAGTAGGCTTCTGATATGGAGACATCACCCCAGAGAGCGGAGGAAGTGAAGGGCTGTGCTGTGTATACATCTGAGGATCAAGGGTTCCAGGAAAGGGGGACTGCAAGGACAAAGGAGGATACGTGCCAGGGTGAGTGAGAGGCCCATGTGGCTGGGGCAGAGGGAGCAGGACGGAGCAGGAGGGCATGGGTGAGAGGTGAGCAGGGTTGGCACCCTGGGGCCAGGAGGGATTGACCAGAACTTTAGCAGAATACGTGGATAATGATATTTCATTAAACTCCTGCTATATTATTCTGATTTTCTTTGAAAAATTATAAAGCACATTACCAATTCAAAGACAAAAGTGAAAAAGTAACTACAATTTTACCATCTAATATGGCTTTTCTCATTTCCTTGTGTTCTTGTCCTTTTTTCCATTTTTGGGCATACTTGTCTGGGTTTTGTCATAGTTAGAGACAGATAGACATCTTGTTTGTCTTAGTTAGCTTCATATCATATGTATGTTATACATCGATAGAAGGCCTTCCAAATACTCCTTCTAATGGTTGTGCAACATCTCAAATGAACGTACTATTTCTTCCTGGTCACTTTAGCACTGGCTTCCAAATAATTACTATCTCTGATGATGCACAAACATTTTTCTATGTTTGGATTATTTGAGGACCCTTCCTCCTGTGAATATTTATACACAAATAGTGAATTATCATAGACATGAAATATTTCTCAATTGTCCCTATATGATTGAAGTTGTGAAACTAATTACCTGCCAATGGTGTCTGTCACTTTTTCAGAGTAGATACCTTCTGGCACTGGTTCATAGACCGCTTCCACTATCTGCAAAACAAAGAGACGGGAGTCATGGAAATAAAGGGGCCATAGATATCTCCGAGCAGTTATACTCAGTCACAACATGAGAAGTACTAACTAAGCACATTTTAGTCAGAAATCAAAACATGCCTACCAAATAAAAAATTTACGCCAATTAAACAGTTCCTGAGCACAGAATTTTATTCTCGAGCTGAGTTAAAGTTAACCTTAGATTCATAATCAAATGACGTGTGGGATAAGATAAGATGCTGGATTGTGAGTAGTCCAAACAAAAAACCAAAAACAATTTGATGTATTTATTTTTGTCATTTTATAAAATAAATGAAGATAATTATAAAGGGAAAGAAGTCATAACACGTAACATACATTTAGAAGGAAGGGGAAAAATGAGTTGTATCCTGAAGTTAACCAAACAGTGCCCTCTTTTAGCTGACTGTTATAAAGATCACAAAGGTCCGTTTAAGAAGAAAAGGAAGGGTGCTTGTAGCAACATGAAGCCCTTTCACCACCCAACACTGCTTACTTTCGTAGCCAAAGACAGCATGTTGGTGCTGTAGAAGGGAGGATTCAGAGTTGCCATCTGATAAAGGATGCAACCTGCTGCCCAGACGTCAGCCTTCTCCCCATATGGCTCACTCTTCAGTACCTCAGGGCTGAAGCAAAATAAGCATATTAATAAAGGCTAAGGGAGGGGGAATTAGCACAGAAGGAAGATCTCATTTTCAAGCTGTAGTTGGAGTTATTTTTTTTAAAGCATCTGAAACTCTTAATCACTATTTCAAGTAAGCATATTACAAAAGTATCTTTGAAATCTCCCAGCTTCGTATGAATCAGGAAGCAAAAAGCAAGCGATTCCAGTCAGTAAATCATATCAACGTTACCTACGTGTGTCCAAGGATGTGCTTGTTTCCATAAATAACCACTCCTCTGTGACAGATGGAGTTCTTTACTGCTCCAGAGCTTGTGTTCATCCCTATCTTTGTTGTAACCTCTTGCTGGGCAGTATTTGTTGTATACTTCTGCCTTTGGTTTTGAATGTGTTTTCTTGCTTTGACCACTGCAATGTGGAAATGTTAGCACGCCGTAGCAGAGCCTCAGTCTTAACAACTATGGACTGCTTACTTTTGTCCTTCCAGGAGCTTCTGTCTACTATAAGGAGAAGAAACTATCCCAGGTAGCTTCCTACACTTACAGCCTGGGCCCATGGGACCAATCTGGCCCAGACAACTCATAAACTTGCAGCCTGAAGGAGCACCAGACACATAGACCTGTGATCTGAAGATAAAAGCCTATTGTTGAGTGCCACAGATGTGGTGAGTAGATACGTGGCATTATTACATAAAATACTGATAATAGCCACTTGCTCTTTGCTATTTAACTAAAATACAAAGTAAGGAGAAGATCATATTTAAATGTTATAGGAAATGACAAAATCTCCATGCTCATGTCTTCTGAAATCATCACATAATTTTTTTATGAAAACAAATCCCCCCCAAAAAAATTATTAGAAGAGAACATATTCTCATGTGGAGAAATTTTTGGTTTTTCTTTCTTTTTTTTAAATTTCAAAGTATTACAGGGGTACAAATGCTTTTAGTCATTCAATTTAACATTTAAATGAAGTAATCTATGCAAATTTATGGGTTTAGAAACTTTATTTATGTGGAGGGGATATAGTTCCCTTGGATTTTTTGTACAAATACTCGTTTCCACTATTGTATTTATTGAATGAAAAACAAACTGCTAGAAGCACTCAACACATACACACCCCAAATGATGTAGCTTGATAATTCAGTTCTATAATATGTGCTCCGATCTGTGCTTAGCGCTGTAAATCAAGGGAGTAAGGATTAACAGTCACGTTTCGCAGTGGGTAAGGTATAAAGAAACTTACAAATTCACATCAAAACAATCAGGGTAGGTACAAATCCGTACTGACTGTTAGGAATAATCAAAGGCCTGGGGATAGTGGCTCGCATCTGTAATCTCAGCACTTTGGGAAGCCAAGGCTGGAGCACTGCTTGATGCCAGAAGTTTGAAATCACCCTGGGCAACTTAGCAAGACCTTGTCTCTACAAAACATAAGAAAAATCAGCCAAGTTTGGTGGTGTATGACAGAGCAAGACTCTGTCTCAGAAAAGAAAAAAAAGAAGAAGAAGAAAGAAAAGAAGAATCAAGAGATAGCTGTTCTTGATGAAGATTTATAGTGTGTATTTGCAGAGGAAAGTGTGCTTTCTAGGTCTCTCAGTTACTCTTTTTCGTGTTTAGTGTTTTTGAGTTCAATAATACAGTGTTAAGAAATTTGGGCTGAGATTTCCAGGGCTTCTGTGGTTCTAAGTACATAAAAACTATTTCCTGTTGGCCCCTCATCAACAGTTCACATTTAAATTTTAAAAAATGTCTTAACAAGAAATAATGTCCTCAACAGAAAAAAGTGTCTGGGTCTCCACGGACAAATTCCTCATATTTCCTTTTACTGAGAACTCAGATTTGCTTCATATTTCCAAAAGATCATGAAACAGAGGCTTTGGGGGCTCCACCCACATCCCCTCACATCCCTTTTCCATTTTTTATCTTTCATGTGCTTTTACTCTCAATTGCTAAAACCTACACTTCTTTGGAGGACAGCTTTCAATTTTTTTCTCAACAGGTTTTAAGTGTCTTCTTCTATAAGAGCATTAATCTCATCGGTGAGACCAAAGTCCTCATAATCTGATCACCTACCATAGGCCACATCTCCTAATACCATCATTCTGGAGGGTAGGATTTCAATATATGAATTGTGGAGGGATACAAACATTCAGTCTATAGCAGACTTACTTCCTGAGACACTGATTTTTTTTCCCATTCATTAAATAAATATTACTAAGCACTTCCAAAGTACCAGTCACTCTCCTACTTGGAATACACCAACAAAAACACCTGCCCTCATGGTGTTTACCTTCCAGTAAAGGACACGGAGCACAGAAGATAATAAAAAATAAAGCACAATAAAATAATTTAAAAGTAAATTATATGTAGTATTTTAATAAGTGATAAATCCTATGAGAAAATAGACCTAGATTAGTAAAAGAGGTCTGGAGTGGACTCGGGGTAGCAGGTTGCCATACTAGAAAGACTGGTCCCTTCTTCCCTCTCAGATCCCAGACACTGATGCTTCAGTGGCTTCTTTCCTTCACTCAACCCAAGGCTTCCATTGAAACATGTACTGAAAATGCTCAGATCTCCTCTCTATTCCTGGTGTCCCTCAGGTGCATACGGACACTACCACATCCTGTGTGGACACTGTCACAAATCACTGATTAAAGTAGCATTAGAGCAGTGACCTGTGAATGATTTACCAATTTTATAAATGAGCTGAGATCTCATCCCATGTCAACAATGCTCTTTCTCAAATTTCAAGGGCTGTTTCTAAGGTGTATAAAAGAGTCAGCATCCCTGCAGGACAAAGGCCAAAGCATCTGCAGCAGGAAGAGTCGTTTCCTGGGAGACAGAGATCTTAAAGCCTGTGTTTGCCCCATATCACTTCCTGAGGCAAACATTTCTATTTATTTTTCTACATCCACCTCTGCTGCCATTTGCACTTCAAACCTAGTCACTTCAAGCAATCCTTTTAAACATATGTGTGTGCCAGGGGAGCTTTTTCTTAATCTGAAAGATGTAGGACTGACTACTCTGCAACCCACGGAAACTTTCTGGTGTTAAGATTCAATGTTTCCACCACATTAGCCACTATAGATTTGTCCCTAATTCCTGGTGCGTCCAGTCCACCATTATCACACTGTGACTCACACCCAAATGTAACCCACCAAATGGTACTTCTTTCCTTAAAAGATAATTTATAATATTTGACAAGTAGGAGTTTATAATAACTAGGTTACATTTACCTCTACTGAGCAGAAAGAATACTAGGGAGGGGGCAGTCAAAAAGTCTGAGCAATTGGAGAAGTTAAGACTTTGATAACTGAAAAACTATCAGTGAAAAAGTATCTCATTGTCAATATGATGAGGCATCTTGGAAGTGGCATTTGGAGACATTATTTTTTTCTATTTATAGCTATTTTATCTTTGTTTTCAGATTAATATAAGGGTACATATGCTTAGGTTACATTGTTTGCATTTGTTGGGTAAAGTCCCAGTTGTAGGTGAGCCCTTCACCCAGCAGGGGTGCCATGTACCCCTACATTGTGCCCCTGCGGTGAGAGCTTACCAAACCCCCTCTCTCCTCTCATGTTCCCTTTCCTCCTCCCCCTCCTTCTTGAATTTAATTGTTTTTTTCTCTCAGGTAGGTGTGTAGTTGTTCAGCTACTTATTTCATATTAATATTGAATACATTGGCTACTTGCTTTTCCATTCTTGTGATACATTACTTAGGAGGATGTTCTCCAGATCCATCCAGGTAAATACACAGGATGTAAAATCTCCATTTTTCTTTATGGCTGAATAGCAATCCATGTATACACATACCACCAGTTTACTTATCCATTAGTGAGTTGATGGGCACTTAGGTTATTTCCATATCTTGGGGATTGTGAATCAAGCAGTTATAAATATTTCAGTGCAAACGTCCTTATTGTACAAAGATTATTTTCTTCTTGGTAGATACTAGCAATGAGATTACAGGATAAAATGGAATGTCTACTTTTAGTTCTTTGAGGATTCTTCATACTTTTTTCCAAAGAAGCTGCATTTGTTTGCAATCTCACCAACAGTGTGTAAGTGTTCCCTTCCCTGCACACCCACATCAGCATCTGCAGCTTTGGGACTTTGTGATGTGATGTTAGGTGATCTTTCAAGATGATTTTGATTTGCATTTCTCTGATACTTAAGGAAGATGAACATTTTGACGTATGTTTGTCAGCCATTTGTCAGCCATTTGTATGTATTCTTGGGAGAAAGTTCTGTTCATGTCTCTTGCCCCATGTGAAAAGAGATTGTTTGCTCTTTTCTTGTTGATTATTTTGAGTTCTCTGCAAAATCTGGTTATTAGCCCTTGTCAGATTGATAACATGTGAATATCTGTCCCATTCTTAAGGTTGTCTGTTTGCTTTAGTTGTTGTGTCCTTAGCTGCGCAGAACCTTTTTAGCTCAATCAGATCACATTTATTTATTTTTGCTGTAATTGCCAAAGAAGTCTTCTTCAGAAAATCTTTCCCTAGGCTGACATCCTCAGAAGTTTTCCCCATGCTTTCTTCTAAAGTTCTTTATAATTTTGTATATTAGATTTAAATCATTTACCCAATGTGAGTCAATTTTTTTTAAATGGAGAGAGGTACAGATCCAGTTTCAGCCTTTTCCATGTGGCTAACCAATACTTCCAGCACCACCTATAAATAAGGATTCTTTCCCACAATGAATGCTTTTGTTTGGTTTATCAAAGATCAGACGGCAATATGAATCTGGTTTAATCTCTATGTTTTCTATTTTTATATTAGTACCATGTTTTGATCACTATAGATTTGTGGCATAACCTGAAGTCTGCTAATGTGATGACTTCAGATTTATCTTTATTTCTTAGAATTGCATAGCTCTTCAAGGTTTTTTACAGTTCCATATGAAATGGATAATTTCAAATTCTTCAAAGGATGATATTGGTGTTTAATGGGGATTGTGTTAAATCTGTAGATACCTTTGTATACTATGAACATTTAAA